CTCTTCTCTCTCTCTCTCCACCAGAGAGCTGGTTTGCCAACACACTCTGGGTGAGAAAAATTAAGAATTCAGAGACATAGCCATAAGCATTGTTTAGGAAAGTTGGAAAAGAGATTTGGAAGACAATTAACCAGTTTTTGAGAAAACAACAACAGGATAAAAGATCCTAAGACTTTTTTGTCTTGATTTGTGTATTAGAACAGAAACAGGTAGTTTATGACTGGTGTAGAGCTCCTTGAAATGAAGAAAGTCTTACTGGAGGGTAATGTAAATTTGCTCAACTATTTTATGAGGAAAGAAGACAAAACAGTTGCAGGGTCTGTGTTGCAAAGCACACATTAAAAATGGCCAAAGGGACAGAGGAGTCTGGAAAACAAGCAGAACCATTTTTAGAGTAACTTAAGTTAAATACAGCAGGACCTCATTAACAAGTGTTGAAATGGGCAAAGAAGAATTGGAAAATTCAGAGAACAAACACACGTATGCCAGCTTGAAGGGGTTCAAATTGTAGGCTGAGAATAGCCATGGCATTTAGGGAAAATGACACAAAGTTGCTACAACATCCTAATATAGAACCCACAAAATCTTTCGGGTTAAAGTTGATGCCAGGGTTCTTGTTCACAAAGCTGAAGAATGAGCTTCCCAAACACCCAAGGTAGGAGAGCAAGGTACAGGCTTTTATTTAGAGATAACGTGAGGAAACAGAGCTCCCAGCTCATGCCAGGAGGCGATAAGAGAGCCTGTGGTTGGCTCATTGTCTAGGGGTTTTATGCGTGGTTGAGGATTTTCAGGAATGAGGGTAAAGGGTTAGGGGTGCAGACTTGTAAGACTGCCTGCCCTAAGGTGGGCTAGGTTGTTGTCTGTTTGCTTGGGTTGTTTGTAGTTGAGATTGCTTACCAAAGCAGTCTTTTGCCTAGGTTGCAGATTACTTTATTACAATTAGAGAAGGGAAAATAGCACATAGTTACAATTAAAATAAACTGGGCCTTTTAGCAGGATAAGGTAAATTTTACATTCTTATGATGTACTTGATACAATAAAGTGATGGTTTATGCTGAGATACTTTTCTTTATCTGCAGAACACTCAAACATTCCAGGTCGAGTTGCTCCTGGCCTTTTGAGCTTTAAGCGATTTCACTGAAGAATGTCTATATTCTTAGACATGTGTACAAATATTTACCCTAGAGAATTAATGTGACTCTGACTTTGCATAATGCTTAACACAGAGTTTTGATACAGACTTCTTTGCATATTGTTACATTGGTCTGACTGTAATTATATTGCTCTGCTTTTTCTCTGGAGGCCCTCACCCTACTCTGCCTACACCCACGGTCCCTGTCTCAAAGTGACTGGAAATATTTGACTCATATAATTATCCTACTCAAAAACCTTCCATGGACAATACTGGCAAAATGTTGATAGTTGTTGAGGCTGAGATACATAGGGTATCATTGTACTACTTCTTTACTTTTTTGAATGTTTGAAATTTTATGTAATTAAAGTTAAAAGAACAGGATACAGGTCAGGCAGCTAAAGAGATACAGAAGACAAGGGTGGAGAGTTTTTAAAAAGGGGGTAGTCAACATTGCTCCATGCCCTGGGGGGCCAGAGAGGGTGGAGACTCAGGCTATAGGGTCTGACTTTTCAGAATGACTTCTTCGGATCAGAACTTGCCAAAAATATTCTTCAGTTACTTAGCCTTTGAAAACAGAAACAAAAGCTTTTGTCATTGGTTACAATTAAAATAATCAGTGCCACAAATGTAAGTCATGTCAGTGCTTTCGATATTAGAATACAGATGCAGAAATTATTTACATACTCATGAAAAGACAGAGGCATTTTAACCATTTAACAATTTGATTAGTTCACAAAGAGGTTAAAGTACTCTTTGGCAATATTTAATTTTTATTACATATTATATTTTGCTGTATTAAGATAAATCTCACATAAAGTTGAACAAGTCTTAGTCAAAAATATAAAAATAAAACATAAACATTTAGCTAACAATATACTCCAGAGTAAGTAATTCTAACCCTCCTTGCTGATCTTGCTAGTCTTAGTTAATTGATTGAGTCTACTCGGCATTTTTATGCTCCGTGTGATGGTAGTCCTGGGCCACATGAAAGAGGAGTCAGAGTTTTCCAGTGTGACAGTGGATGTCTTTTCTTTTTGGCAGAAGGCTGCACCATGCAGCGTGGAGAGCAGATCCCAGGTTGTATATTCTCTTGTGTTTGCAGCTTGGACGTTGGGGTTTATTCACTGTGGTTATCTGGGTCCTGATTCACCAGAGCATCAGCCTGCCTGCTCACACACCTCAAAGCGATCAAAAAGTCTTCTGGCCTTTCCTTTCTGCACCTCAATCACTTAATGACCAGAGCTTACCTTTGACTTTATCTACTTTCTGCTGCTATCTGCACAGACTCCCTGAGGGCAGAGAAATGGCTTCACCCAGTTCCGCTTCCCGATGCCACTGCTTGTTCGCACCTGCTCCCATGAGATGGGGGATCTGGGGTAAGTCCACTGCTAGGGCAGGGAGTCAGGGGAGCGGGTGGGGAGTGAGGGGCTGGAGGTATGAGTCAAATCTGATCTCCAGCCTCAGCAAATGATACAAATCCAGACTCTTTCATCCATGTCCCACAGAATCCTCCAACAGACATGCCGTTGTTCCTTGGGGAGCCAGGTCATGGTTAGGAAGAAATGTAAGAGGGTGGTTGCAGGGATCCGTATAGAACTGACCTCCAGGTGGCTAGACTGGGTTTTCCAAGGCATTTTTTTCTGAGCCTTTGAATCTAGAAACAAGGAAATTTTTCTCACTGAGTTTATGAGTACAGTGCGAGTGTCAGGGCCTTTTTCTCTGAGAAGGGAGATGAGACAAGGCACCAGACTGAGATCCTGTGAGGTCTCTAGGCTTCTGAGAGTTGAATTGCCACCCCCTCCTGATAAGGATTTCTATCATTCATGGTCTCAGCTGCACTTAAGGCCATCAGCCATAGTTCATTATCCAGCATCTGGTCTGAATAAACCGCAGATTTATTTGTAGTCTCTGAGTGCTCTAGGCGGGAGATGCAAACAGCAGCTTTCCCTGGGGAGGCCTGGATGTAATGGGACCCTTTTCTGTTTTGCATCCCTGGCTCTGACGGGGATCTCTGAGGATGCTCAGTGGCACAGTCTTCTTTCGGCCCTTATCTTTCCTAACTAGTCCAGTGAGAGCGAGAGAAAAGAATTCTGTCCTGAGTCCCTCTTTGTGCCCCAGAAAGAAATAAACAGGAAGGTGAGGATATAAAATTTATTTGGAGAGGAATTTTAATTGTGCACATTTGAGGTTTGAGGTACATCCCTGACCCCTCAATACATAGACCTCCACTGGAGTATTCCCACATTTAGTTGTTTTTAGTGAGGTGTTCTCTCCCAGACTCTGAGCTCTTAGAGGATGAATTTTTGTGTGTTAAACTTTGAGTTATCAGCATCTTGTTCAGTTAGTAGCCCATATGCTCAGTACACTTTTGCTGAATGAATAAGTGCACTTGTCTTTGTATAGTGGCTTATGGTTTATTATGCACATATTATTTCCTTTGAAACTCAAAACAACCCCGTGAAATGCTATTGCGATCATTTCTGTTATCCAGATGGGGCTAGGGCAGGTTTAGTGACTTTCCAAAGATCACCCAGCATAAGAACTCAAATCTAGATCTTTGACATGAAAATCTAGGGTCTTTCCATGTGCCACACTGACTCTAGGCCTTTCCCATCAGTATATAATAAACCAGCCAGTTACTTAGCCATCTGAAAAGAACATGAAAATATAAATATTTCCCTGCTGGAGCAGAGCCATGAAGAGAACTGCAGCCTAGTGTCCAGTTTGACAGCAGGAGTTCTTAGGAGCATGGTCATTTCAGAGCTGGAGACGTAGCCTTCATAACATTCTCACGGACCCTGTAGGAACCTGCTTACTAATTTTTACTCCATTATGGATTGAAAAGCTTCATGGTGGTATCTTTCAAAGCTTTAGCTAAAGACACAATTGGGGCCGTGTGTCTTATCTTAACAGCATCATGGTGTTGGGAGAGAGGCGAGACTATGGCATTAGTTGTTTGTTTTTTCAAAGACATAAAGGATTGTGTTTTAGGGATTGCGAAATGTTGGACACCAGCTGAAGAAATTCAAAGTGGCAAAAGTATTTTGAAAATTGCAGTGTTCAAATCATGGCAAAAGTTGTAATAACTGGTTTACAGTGAAGGTAACTGAGGTTTGGTGTGAATTTTGGCTCCTTTTTGGGTTGGAGGTAGTCCCAAATGAGGATTGGCAAACTGTGGCTTGGGATCAGATCTGACCTGCCATCTCTTTTTGTAGAGCCCACAAGCTAAGAATATTTTTCGCATGTTTAAATGGTTGAAAAAAATCAAAAGAATATTTCCTGATGTGTAAAAATTATTTGAAATTCACATTTCCTTGTCCATAGATAAAATTTTATGGGAGCACAGCCATTTCTATTCATTCACATGTTGTCTCTGGTAGCTTTTGGGCTACCACAGAAAAGCTGAGTACTTGTGACAGGGACTTTCACAGGGAATTTATGGCTCACAAAGGTTAAAATATTTACCGTGTGGCCCTTGACAGAAAGTTGCTGACCCCTGACCTATTGCCTTGCTTTGTTCAAAACAGGCACTCAAATACTTGTCAGAGGGTTAAATCTGGGAATACTAGATGTCACTGTGACATTGCCGGGAGTGGGTCCAGGAGCTGAATATTTCAGGGCACCCCCACACGCCCCTCACCTCTTGGATGACTGAGCTGCTATAAACTGAGCTGGGTCCTGCCCCAGATCCCAGGGCTCAGCTGAGTCCTCGGCGTGCATCCAGTTCAGTGTGGGCTCTGACCCTTTCACATCCAGTTTGCTTTGAATATCTTCTTTCTCTGTACCCTGCCTCTCAGCCGCACATCCCTTACTTTAGAATATTAACAGCAAACAGTTAAGAGCTTACTCTGGGCCAGGCAGTGTGCTAGGGACGAGGCAGAGTTGTTTGGACCAGGCCCCATGGTAGTCTGTGGGCCCCAGCCACAGAGTCTGCCCGATAGGTAAGGTGAACTCCATGCTGGAACTGCTTCCAGGCTCTTCTCAGCCCGGGGTTGCCCAAGGTCAGAAGCACCGAGTGGCTAGCAGGGCAGGCAGCCTTGATGATTTTGCACAAAATATCCCAGGAACTGTCAATGTCAAAGATGTTGGACATGGAAGAAATAGAGCGACTGCATTGAAAATCTAAGACTGAAAAAGCAGCTGATAGCTTTGAGGGCTCCATGTGAGCCTCCATGCTGTGGGCCCTGAAGCTTGTGCCATTGCTTTCCATGTGTAGAGTGTGTCTGTCTCCTGAGAGAGATGATCAGCAGGGTGACAGCGTGGATAACATGATCAGAGGAATGAAAATCCTTAGGTCATAGAGAAGAACCAGGTTAAGCACAATGGTCTCAGGAAAGTACTCCTCAGTGGTGTTGGAGGAGGGGATAGGAGTGGAACTGTTTCCATACGCATTGAGGGTATCTGTGGAGAAGGGGAAGCTGAAGCATAAGGAGATGAATGGGGATATCCTCAGAAGACAAGCCATCAGCACCATGATTTTCCTCTTCATCATGGAGAACAAAGGTGAATGAAGTTTGTAATTCAATGGCAAAAAACTGAACTAGGCAGCAAGCCGGAGTTTGGAATAGCTAAGAGAAATGACGATGACTTGGAAAAGTATATACACTGTGTTTTGGTTATAAGTGATCCAGAAAAATAGGCTGTAAGTATTCTCCAGCATTATCCATTCCTGTAACAAGATCCTGAAAAAGCTCAACACGACCCGAATACAGTCACTAACAGGGAGTCTTTTGCTCCTGGTCCACCTGGCCCCATCTATGGCCAGGATGAGGCATTCCCAGCAATGCCAATGATGCACCCTGTTGGAGAGATCCCCATGTTGAAGAGAGTTTTAAACCTGGACGTGTCTTTACCTGTGACATCTGTTTTTACCGTCGCCATTCTCTTTGGTCCTGATGTTCAGGTTTCCACACCAAGAACTGATACCCCTCTGCAATCTTCTGACCTTCACTCAGTGTTATTACAATGTTTTCTCCAGGTAATGGTTCCTTACATTTTTTTATTCATTTGCTTGCCACATGACTACCAGTCAGAGGCTTGAAATGCAAATGGTGAGAGGATCTGGTTACAAGCTGTCTCCATTTTCCATAAAGACCCATTTGTCTTGGGCTTTCAGGAACTTACTGGAAAACATTTCGGACAGGTTCCTATCATAGCACCTTTGTAATTTATTTACTTTAAGTTCATATTCATCTGACAGGACAAGAGTCCCAGGTTAGGAATCTTAGTGACACCTGCCTTTTTACTGGTTTTTGCAAGACATGTTATCTGTTAAATTACCTGTAAAAATGTAGCATCTTTGATCTACCTCTTCTGTTTCCTTCATTGTCTCCCTTATTTTGGGAGATGTTTTTATCCTATGGTGAGCATGCTTATGAGTAAGAAATTCCTGTCACATATAAGCATATATACTTACAACCAAGTTTCTTCCAGAAAGGCCAGCTATTAAAATGTCCTCAAGCAGTACATGGGAAAGCCAGAACTGCATGCCACTTGGGTTAATTAGACACAAGGAAAACTGCCTTGTGAGAGTTTTCATTGTCTGTGTGTATATCACCAGCTATAACTTACTGAAATCCGCATCACTATTTGAGCTCAGTATCAGGTACAGTTAGCCTGGAAAGGCTGCAGAGTTTTCTGAATACAGTGTTGAACTTGGGATATGTGACAAAACACTGTTACTTGAAATTTAATTCCCTACTTCTTCATTCTGGCTGTGAAACAGAATGAACTCTGTAACTTTAAAAAAACACATAGATGCCCAGGACTCATTGCTGTTTCTAGTAAATCAGCATCTAAGATAGGGTCCAGAAATGTTTTATTTTTCAAAAGCTGAACTGTCATATTGCTCTTAGCCAGATGGAGAACTAGTCTTATCTAGAGACCAGTGAGTCTGGGGCTTGCAATAGTTTTGTCTTGTGCTGCTTAATGTCAAACAACATTATTCCACCAGTGCATAATTTTTTCTTATTGGCCAAAACCTAAATTTAGGAGATTGCATATATGCACAAAAAATTTCTCTTCTCTTAAAAAATTAGAAGATCGGGCAATATTGGGTCTACATTGTGAATCAGTTCAAGTGGAATAGTGGCTGCCCATTTAAAGTAAGGTATGTATGTACTCTTACAGCATCCACTAATTCCTAATATCTTATTGACCCCGAGGCTTTGTGCCAGTGTGCTTTTCCTATTATAATTTTTATAATATAAACAGAGCTGATAAAAATGGATTTCCCCACCCCAAATTAATATGATTTCAAAGAACTCAAATTTTTATTATTATATTTGTATAAAATAGCACTATGGAAAGAAATAAATTACAAAATTAAGAAAAGATTGTTTAGAGAAATGAAAATTCATGTTAGGACAAAAATGTGTACACGAATGTTCATAGCAACTTTATTCATGATAGCCAGAAATGGGAAACAAAAACATTTGTTGTCAAGTTCCATACCTTTGGTAACTTCTGTTGCTTCTACTAAATAGAGGAGAGTAGTGTTTTTCAGCAGCCTTCATGTATTCCAAAGCCAAACTCATCTTTCGGTTTATTTTTGTCTCAACCCATGTAACTTTGCAATAAGTGATATCTCCCCAAATTTCTTGCATATAATTGTTTATATCCATTGTTCTGGTACCATCTTCTGTCAGTGTTCTTTTATGTTTTTCTCTGCTTTTAAGAGGCAAGAGCAGTGGGGGCTGGTGAGATGAAACCATATTTATAGGGATGTGGGGCTAATTCAGTTATTATTCTGTGATCCTTTCTCACTTGGGGAGCTTGAATTGAAGCACTTTTGTTTTAGGGAAACCCTTCATAGGGAACCAAAGACCAAAGGTTTCAAATTCTTGGCTATTAATTTCAAAAGCTTTGGTCCAGATGTAGAATAGAAGAAATTTGGAAGAATATGTGATTAGGAGAGTCATGTTCCTTTCACTTCTCTCTCAAGCACTGCCATGCAGGCTTGGAAATGCTTTTCCAAGTTGGGGAGGAAGAGAAATGGCAGAGAAGGTCAACATCTCTGTGAACAGGGGGCCCTGCATCTCAGCCTACCACTCATGGCTGCATGGAGTTGTCAAAAGCAGAGGGGAGACTGTAAGATTGGGTCTAAGTCTTGGTAACTTCCGTCCACACCCGGGAGAGCCACTAAGCCTTCCTTGTGGTCACAAACATTTTTGGAAACTTTCTGAGAGAGTTAGTGGATTCCAAAAAGGATTGGTGGTCATATCAAGGACGCTGTGCATGCTTGGATTCAGGTGAAACCACTGCAAGGACAGAGGATTGACCATGGAAAAGACATCCGTCTACATCCATCCCCCAGTTGCTGCTCCCTAGGAACAAGGAACAAAGATATCACCTCAGGGAGGACAAGGAAGAGAAATCCTGAGAAAATCTTGCAGTTGTAATGTGTAAGCCTGGCATAACTGTGAAAACACTAAGTTATAATTGGTTTATGGAGCGTAGTGCTCAGCTGTGCTGTTGCAGCTCCCTCTCCTATCCCATAGTAATCTTCGGCAAGTTTTTATCTTTTCTAGTCTTTTTTTGGTTATTAATACTCAATCCAATTTAATTTTTTATTTGGTTTAAACCTTACCTTCTCTGTTTCCCCCAAGGACAGTGTGAGTTGACACCTCATCTACTTGAATTGGATGGGGACCAGGTGGACCCTGGGATACCCGATTCTCCCTCCTGTTCCTCCAGGATGCTGGGTGCAATCTCTTTATTTTACTTGTTACAGTGATAAGTGCTCTCTTGTGGTTGCTGCTGCTTCAGCCACACCATCTGGCCACCTGTGCATCTATAGATTGGCTCTCTTGTGAGGAGCCCATGTGAGTTCCTGAGGGCTCTGCAGCAACTCTCTGGTGTGCTGCCCACAACTTGAGTCACCCATACCTTCTTTCCCTTCCCTCATATTTTTATTAGTAGAGACCTAGGTGGGGGGTTGCTGTGGGGTGGGGATCGTGGCTGGTGATAGAATTGCCACTTCTTGGTAAACTTTGAAGGTAAGTATCTAGCCCCACTTCTTGACTGATTTCTTTATATCTCAACCTTCTAACCCTGTCTACATACCAGGGTTGCCTGGATTACCTGAAAGGCTTAAAAAACAATCCATGCCCATGTCCTCCTTCAAAGATCCCGAGTAATTGTTCTGGAGTAAAGCTAAACACTGGCATTTCCAAAATTCCCCATTGAAATTCTAATACAGAGCAGGTAAGGAGTACTTACCTGGATGGTTTACAGTGTGGGCTGTAAGGTCAATTTTGGGGCAACAGGAACCATGCCACTCAACATCCTTGTAGAAGTGACTGAATGACTTCCTGGAGAAGACCAAGAGGACATGTTCTGCCACCAGGTCGAAGAAGACCAGATCCAGAGGGTGGATTTTAGAAAATAAAATATTTTGCAAAACTGAGTTTTTGGCTTGTGAGAATCACTTCCACTATATTGTGTTAGAAAAGCAAAATATTTCTCATATCTCTATGTAAAGGAAGAAAGGGAAGATAGACCTAAAGGGTCATGTTCTATTTAGTAAACTGAAGACCATACTTATGCGATTATTTGGAAAAGAGAATTAAAATGTCAACAGGGTTTTTTTTTTTGTTATTTATCAAATAAGCAATTATGTATCTAAGTGAAAAATCTACCCAGGCATCAAATTCTTCATGGATAGCAAGTTATAAAAGAGTATCTATTGAGAGATTGGGAGAAAAAGATGGCAGAGTAGGAAGGCAAGGTGGAAATCTCCTCCTCAAAACACATAAAACACAAAAATATGGCAAATATAACTAAACCTGAAAATGACCTGAAGATTGCAGAACAGACTACCTACATCTCAGAAGAAGAGAAGACCTCACAGAAAAGGATAAAGTGGCAAAGTCAATCGAGTGAGACACAAGCCCTCCCTCTACCACAGACCACAGGTGGGAGAAAGAGGAATAGAGTGGGAAGAGGGTAGGAGCCTAGGATTGCTGAACACCTTGCCCTGAAGATCTGCTCCAGGAGCACGAACTCACATTACTTGGTGTTCTGGTGATTAGCAGAGCTGGACAAAAAAGACAAGAGGAACACTCAGAGAGGCTAAGATTCCAGTTGCTCATGGAGAACAGGCATGCTCCACCTGTTCCCCTAAGACAGAAGCAAAGTAAGCAGTTTGAAAGGCTTCCCAGCAGTGGGACGGTTGCCAGAGGGGAAGGTGTTGGATGGAGCTTTCTTAGAAAGGGAAGGTGGATGATACCTCTCCAGCCTTCCCTCAGCCCAACAGGTCAGGAACTATTGGGAGCCTGAGGTGCTCCATCCCCCTTGCTGGCAATGCAGCCCCAATGCTCCTCCCTGTGTGTGTGGCTGGCAGACTCCACTTGGCCCACCAGTAGAGTCAGACCTAGCTGCTGGGTAGGCGAAGGGGGATGACCCTCCCAGCTTTCTTAGCTCTGATTCAGTCCAACAGAGGAGGTGTCTGCAGGAGCCAGCCCCAAGAGCTCCTTCCTCCTTATGGACACCAGATCCTGTGTGATGAGCCTGAGCAGAACCACAGATCAGCTCACCTATCCCATTAACCCTGCATCTCCCACCATTGCTGCAGGTCAGGAAGAGGGTAGCCCTATGCACAGCAACTCCAAAAAAGACTTCTGTGCTGATCACAGATGTGCAACCAAAGCAAACTGCCTGCCTAGAATCAGACCACTATAAGCCAGACAGAAAAGTGGCCCTGCTTACTGCACGCCAACAGCTGGGGCTCCTGCACTGGAAAGTAAAGACTCTTGAGCTTCTGGGCACTAAAGGACACCTTCTTCATAAAGCTATTATTCCATAGACAGTAACACAGAAACCCTGACAAAATGAGGAGGTAGAGGAATATGTTTCAAACAAAACTACAAGATGAAACACCAGAAAGAGGGCTGAGTGAAACAGAAATCAACAATCTTCTTGTTAAAGATTTCAAAGTAATATAATCATGGATCTACAGAAAAATATTCAAGATATCAGGGAAGACTTCAACAAAAATATAGATCTGCAAAAGACCCACTCAGAAGTGAAGAATACAGTATCTGAAATGAAACATATAATGGAGGGATTTAAGAGCAGATTATCACAGGTTGAAGAAGCTGTAAATGAAATGGAAATTGGGGAACAGGAAAACAATGAAGCCAAAAAACAGATAAAAAAGGGTCTTTAGGAATGAAAGAATCAGAGAGCTGTGTGATCAATCTATATGGAACAATATTTGCATAATATAGGTACCAGAGGAGAAGAAGAAGACAAAGGGATATAAAACCTCTTTGGGGAAATAATTGTTGAAAAGTTCCCCAATCTGGGGAAGGAAATAGACACTCAAGTCATGGAAATACAGAGAACCCCTAACGAAAGGAGCCCCAGGAAGACAACACCAAGACATATAGTAATGAAAATGGCAAAGATCAAGGATAAGGAGAGAGTAGTGAAAATAGCACAAAAGAGAGAAAGATTACCTATAAAGGAAACCCCATCAGGCTTTCAGTAGATTTCTCAGTAGAAATTTTACTGGCCAGAAGATAGTGGCATTATATATTTAGTGTAATGAAACAGAAATTCCTCCAACCAAGAATCCTCTATTCAGCAAGACTGACATTTAAATTTGAAGCAGAGATTAAACAATTTTCAGATAAACAAAATTTGAAGGAATTCACCACCACTAAGCCAACCCTACAATATATATTAAAGGGACTTCTGTATATGGAAATGTTCCTAAGGCTGAATAGCTTTCACCAGTGAAAATAAGCCCACAGTAAAGGTAGTAGACCAATCATTGACAACCAAGTATGAAAATAAAAGAAGCATAATCAGCTACTCACAAAATCTGTCAAGAGATACACAAAAAGCATGGATTATGATATATAATATATAAAGTGTGGAGGAGGAAGAAGGGAAAAAACTTGCATTAAATCGTGTTTGAAATGGAGTAAGTAGCAATTTAAGGTACACTGTTATATAGTAAAGAAGCTATCCTTGAGCCTTTGGTAACCATAAAACTAAAGCATACAGTAGATACACACAAAAAGGAAGGAAGGAAGGAAGGAAGGAAGGAAGGAAGGAAGGAAGGGGAAAAATATAATCACAACACTAAAGAAATCCATCAAATAAGAGAAGTATAAGAGAGGAAAAAAGAAAAAATAGCAAGGAAGCTATCCTTGAACCTTTGGTAACCAGAAAACTAAGGCCTAATATAGATACACACAAAAGGAAAGAAAGAGAATGAAAGGAAGGAAGGAAGGAAAGAAAGAGAGAAAGAGAGAAAGAAAGAGAGAAAGAAAGAAAGAAAGAAAGAAAGAAAGAAAGAAAGAAAGAAAGAAAGAAAGAAAGAAAGAAAGAAAGAAAAAATATAATTGCAATCCTAAAGAAATGCATCAAATGATAAGAAGAGGGGGGGAAAGCAGAGAAGAAACATAAAAAAACACAAAACAATTAATAAAATGGTAATAAATAAATACCTATCAATAATCACCTTAAATGTAAATGGACTGAATCCCCCAATCAAAAGACACAGACTGGCAGAATGGATAAAAAG